CGTTATACAGACTGGTATAAACCGATATCCCAGCCCTACTTGTGATCGTGTTATCGAGCCACCGTAGAAACTCTGGCCTGTTTATCGAAGGTCTGTCACTATTGTTTTACTTCTGTCTTCCAGAGCAAATCCTGAGCAACATCAAGCAGGAGTACAAGCGCATGCAGAAGCGGAGACACCTGGAGAGCAGCTTCCAGCAGACGGACTCCTGCTGTTTCCCGCTGGACGCTCAGCCACACGCCTCCAGCAGCAGCACAGGTACAGCACAGCTCCACAGCCCCAGCTAAACCCCACCGTGCAGCATGGCTCTGTCCCCTCGTCGAGTCGAGCGCTGCGTGCGTCATGATCCGGTGCTTTCTGTGTCTCAGAACGGCTCAGTTCACGGTGAATACAGCATGCATCTAGCGTGTTACACTTTAACGTGCCCAACTAAACAGAGGGTTAAAGGGTTAAAGTTCAGGTGTAATACAGCACTTTTTTCTTTGGGGAGTTTGCACACTGAACATGGGTTGGAGCTAGGGCTGGGCGATTTGGCAAAAAATTTAAATCTCGATTTTTCCAGAACGTTTGACCGATTCCCGATTTTTTTCTTACGATGTTTAACTAGTCAACTTGAAAATGTAACTACAGCATGATTCAAGTAACTTTTTTTTATTAACCCAAAAAATTATATTCCAAGTGCAGCACACATGAAGTTGTCAACATGATGTAAATGTTAAACAAATCACTTGTTAAATATCGTTGCAGAAAAGACGCATGAACTACAACTATGTCTTGTACAAACTTGTCTTATTATATTATGTGTTCAGAAATAATAAGAGGAAAATGCTTTAAAAAAAATATCAAGTCACGGTAATTCAAATTGTAAATGACTGAAGGTATAACACAAGTAGACTATTATTAACGTTAATTATAAATGTTAACGGTAATTAATATTCTGTAAAAACAACAGCAGCTTTCAGTCTGTCACCATGATGCAAACATGAAATATCAGACATACAGTAGTAGTTCTTTACAGGTTTGCATTCGATTGCACTGCTTTTCCATGGTTTTTTCTATGTGAACATGGACGTGTTTGACTGTTGTGCTCGCGTCTCTTGCAGTGTCTCATGCATGAAACGGCATTCTAAAAACACTGCGCTCAAGTTAAAAGAAGTTCACTCCCATCTTGCATGTTTTTTCTGTTCCACTGCCCGCGTCGCATCTAGTCAACACAAGAGTGCATTCTGTGTGAACGGCACCTAGCACTGAGCGATTAATCACATGCGCCGACATGCAGTTGGATCGTTCTTTTCTCTTTACTGTTATCACCGGCATATTGTCAAAGTGTCGAATTCTAACCTTTGGTAATATTTCTATTCAATTCAATCGCAATTCCTCGATTTCTAAAAAATAAAATTGTGGCAAAACTACCGAGAGTTCAGTAGCTGTTACCAGTCTCAGCAGCAGGCTCGTTCATTAGTGAGCGCTCTTTACGTCTCTTACAGGTGCGTCCTCCCCCTCCAGACGCGAGCAGCCGTTATTCACGCTGAAGCAGGTGGGCATGATCTGCGAGCGCCTGCTGAAGGAGCGCGAGGAGAAGGTGCGGGAAGAGTACGACGAGATCTTGACCACCAAACTCGCAGGTATCGGCTGTAAAGAACTCTATTAAAGGGTTAGTTCACCCAAAAATGAAAATTAGCCCATAAATTACTCACCCTCAAGTCATCCTAGGTGTATATGACTTTCTTCTTTCAGACGAATCCAGTCGGAGTTATATTAAAAATGGTCTTTGATCTTTCAAGCTGTTTAATGGCACTCAGCGGGTGTTGCATGCTTCAGTCCAAAAGAAGTTAAATAAAAAGAGCCCATCCATAAAAAAAAGTGTCTCACACGGCTCCGGGGGGTGAACAAAGGCCTCCTGTAGCGAATCGATGCGTATTTGTAAGAAAAATATCCATATTCAAAACACCCGCTGAGTGCAATTAAATAGCTTGAAAGATCAAAGAAAAACAAAATCAAGACTTTGTAAAAGAGCATAATAGGACCCCTTTAACAGCTCAAAATGTGCATTTGTTTGATTGATGGAGTTGCGTGTTGTTTTTGCCTTCCCAGAGCAATACGATGCTTTCGTGAAGTTCACCCATGACCAGCTGATGAGGCGGTTCGGGGAGCAGCCTGCCAGCTGTACGTATGCTCTGCTCTGGTGTGTGTTGATGGTTGTGCTCGCTGTCTTTGGCTCACGGCTGACCGCTGTTGTTCTGCAGATGTGTCCTGAGCGCGCCTCGCTGTCAGACGGCGTCTTGTCCTGTGGATCTCTGCCTGTGTGAGCTCCTGACGCTCAGGATAGGTCCAGCTGGGTCTCCAGCAGTGCCAATCGCATCTTTCCCTCGCTGGGCACAGAGTTTGTGTCAGGCTTCTGTCAGTGCGTAACCACTCTCTCTCTCTCTCTGCAGCGGCTGCTTATACACCTCTGCAACTATTACTCCAATCAGTGGCTCTTGTGTCTCTTACTGAACCCTGGATATTTATTAGGCTTTGACCATGCCTTTTACACAGTCACCTGTCCTTACATCCTTTATGTTTGATTTATGTAAAATGCCTTTTATTCGCTGCAAATGACGTCGATTGCCATGATAAATGTGAGACTGTATGTGAGGGAGACTGCTGTTCATAGCTTTGTGTAAATACATCCTGGCTGTGTTCTGGAGTTTTCATGTACAAATCAAATACAGCATTTATTTCAATTGGAGTCTGTTTTCATGCTTTGTATTTATTTTTGTTGAAATTTTTTTTTTTTTTTCCCCTTTCCTCTGCATTATGGTTTTACCGCTCCTGTAGTTTAAGTGACTTATGTTGGGAAAGTATACAAATAAAACGTTTACATAACTGCTGTTGTTTCTTGCTGCTGTTCGTTCAGTTTAGATCGGATAGTTTGGGTTTCTTGTGCTAGATTCCTGAAGTGCCTGGGTTAACCAGTAAGTGCCTAAACTGACACTGCCCTGCAAAAAGGGTGTCCATGAGTGCGATGTAGAGCAGTTGATGCAATCTGATTGTTGTTCTGTCTTTACTGATTAATGTGTTTAATGTGAACTCTTACTTACTGACAGCTAAACCCATCGTTTCCCGCAGGATTTTGTAAGACTTTGTGTGGTGGAGTCCGGGGTCATGCACTCCTGGAAGCTCAGATAACTCTTATCTGACTTAAGAATAACAAAACAAACGAATAATATATATATATATATACGTAGTAAGGTTTCACAGAATAAAACAGAGCAAATAAAGTGTAATGATATTAATAAAAACAGTATTCTTCCACCAAACAATGTAGTTCCTCAGAAACAGTTGTGGTTGCAACAAAGTGGTTGCCGAGCAACACACAAACGTAAACAAAGGTGTGTGTTTGTAGAGTAATTTACAACAGCTTCGAACACGGCTCAGCCAATCAGAATCAAGCACCGGAACTCTCCGGTTTATAATGATATTTTAACAGAAATCATGATTAGGTTATACAGTTTACGACAGATGAGAATAATAATAATCTTATTTATGTGGGTACCAGCACACGTGGGAATTCAAGGTAATGAGGAGGCAGACAAAATAGCCAAAGAATCAATAAAGATGAATGAACCTAATATAAACATTTCACTCAGTAGATCAGAAGGGAAACAGTTTATTTCAGAAGCGTGCAATAGGAAATGTCAGACACTCAAATGTCATACAGGTCGACACTATTACAAGATTCAAAGAACCATGAAGAAAAGCTAAATAATTCACTACTTAAGTCGAAGAGGGCAAGTTATTTTCACACATTTACGAACAGGGCATTCAAATCTAAATCATATACTTGACACATTATAGGGAAGCATAACACGGGTCTATGTGATGTCTGTTTAATAGAGGAGACAGTGGAGCATGTTATGAAGATATGTAAGGCATGTGAAAGATAAAGGAGGATTCTTAAGGAAGAATTACAACAAGCATTAGGGTACCAGGAATTCACAATAACCCGCTTATAATGACGGTCCAAATTCAGGAAAACTAATAAATGCAGTCATGAGATTATTAGTAGAGCCTGGCTCATTCTCTTCACACTCCAGCACAGTAGGTGGCGGTATGCGCCTCTGGAGTTGGTTCGCAACCCGCAGTAAACTCAGAAGAAGAAGAAGAGGAGAGTGTGGAGGAGTCAAAACAGAAACACTGACAAATATAGGGGGAGAAGGTTGCCATAGTGAGGTGTGGTGTGGTGATTTTAATGCACACAATACATTATGGGGTAGTAAGCACACAGATCATAATGGAAGAGCAGTGGAAGAACTCTTAGAAATGAACAATCTAGTGTGCATTAATGATGGGAGTTATACTAGGTTGGATATAGAATTTTTTTTTTTTTTTTTGAGAATTAGCATTTCCCTTGATATCAGCGCCTCACACTCCATCCCAGTAGGTGGCGGAATATGCACCAAAAGCTGGTTTGCCAACCGCCATTAAACATCATAAGAAGAAGAAGAAGGAGTCAAAACAAGTATTAAAGCAAGTAGGGTAGGAATTAGGAACAGGAGAGAGGAAACTGTGTTGACTACACTGTGCTCTAAATAAAACATTACAGATGGTATGGAAACAGCAGTCTGGTCTGTGTGATGAATCAGTGGAGCATGTGTAATTCTACAGTGTAGGAAATGCAAGACAAATAGTGCAGAAACTTACTTTAAAATCTACCCTAAGTATGACGGAAAGAGCTCAGGTTAGAGAATTGTTAGTTTTTTTAAGGGACTGGGCTTTAGTATAGGATTTTTTTTATTTTTTATTATTATTTGCTCCTATTCCCCCTTTTTCCTCATCTCATCTTCTAGAATAGACTAAACCTACTGATTGATCCACACTCCGGAACAGATGGTGCATGCCAACCGCTTTAAAAACTAAAGAAGAGGAGAGTTTGGGAGCCTTGGTCCATTTGAGATATAGGTGGCGGTAATGCACTTATAAGTCTGCGATCCGCCGTAAAGCAAGAAGAAGAAGTTTGGGAGCCTGGTGACTTGTATTTTGACATCGCGTCGCGTGCTGCGGCGAGACTCATGGCGTGTTTCTTCAGGAGGCGCGTGGCGCTGCAGGTACAGACAGCAGAGCTTACACACACACACACACACACACACACACACACTCTCACACGGGGTGATCGCTCTTCTTGTGTTGCAGCTTGCAGAGGTGTGTGGACTGTCTGAAGATGTGTTCATACCGCTCATCTCTGCAGTGCGGGTGTCAAAGAAGCAGTAAGAGCTACACTCAAACACCTGCTCACCGAATAAACTAGTGATGCAAAGTCCGATTCTTTTCTGCGAACCGGTTCTTTTCGGACAGTTCGGCTCATTGAACCGGTTCAAAACGCCGATTCATCGGTCCCTTTTTCCTCGCATTACAAGTAACGATAATTACGTAATTACTGTCAGAATGATGCATTTCTATAGCGGAGGCGTTTCCTTCAGCCCCAGGCTTATTCAGTTCACTTTCTGTGTGAAAGGGCCTTTACAGGTGCCAAAAACATAACCTTTGGATTTTTTGTTATTCAAAATACAAATAAGCAAGCCCAGCCCAGGTGACAAAAAGTACCGCAAAAGTAACACAATACATTACTTTCCATACAAAGTAACGCAGTGACTAACTTTTTTATGGAGTAATGCAATATTGTAATGTGTTATTTTTGAAAGCAACTTTCCCCAACACTGCTTATTATCACCGAGTTACGCGGCGCGTGTGTGTGTGTGTTGCTGTGTGTGTGTGTATTGTTGTTGTTGTTGTGTGTGTGTTTGTTTGTGTGTGTGAGTGAGTGAGTGAGTATGTGTGGTTGTTGTGTATGTATGTGTGGTTGTTGTTGTTGGGTTGTGTGTGTGTGTGTTATGTATGTGTGTTGTTTTGTGTGTTGTTGTGTGTTGAGTGAGTGAGTGTGTGTGTGTGTGTGTGTGTGTGTGTGTACTGGTTTATATATCCTGGTGGGGACTTAAACCTGACTACACACAGACTCATGGGGACTCGTGTCACGGTGGGGACCTAAATTGTGGACCCCACGGGTACAAAAGCTTATAAATCATACAGAATTAAGTTTTTTGAAAATCTAAAAATGCAGAAAGTTTCCTGTGAGGGGTAGGTTTAGGGGTAGGGTTGGTGTAGGGCAATAGAATATACGGTCTGTACAGTAGAAAAACCATTACGCCTATGGAGAGTCCCCACAAGGATAGCTGACCAGACATGTGTGTGAGTGTGTGTGTTGTGTGTTTGTGACTGTGGTCTTTGTCGTCTCAGGTCTGCCGCTGATCTGTGTGTGTCGGTGAACAGTCTGCTGCAGAACGGAGCTGTTGCTGCTGGTGGAGACCTGCAGAGCAAAACACAAGCCCTGGTCAGTCAGGTGAGCCGATGCTGTGCATGAAGACCGGAGTAGAGCGCTAGAGCTCAGACAAGATATCTACTGAAGAATTAAACGCTAGGCAGAAATGCAAACAATGCGAGCATTTATTAAGCTTGCCGTTACAGATGTGACACCTCAAGCTACATCTGTTTTGATGCGCTCATTGGATGTTTTCGTGAATGAGGACTCTCTTGCTCTCTTTTATTGCTCTTTTGGATGTGTGTGTTTCTGTGATCGTCTGAAGAAGGGTTTCTGCTCTCTGCTCCAGATGAAGCGGGATGCTGTCGTGGAGGAGGTCTCCGCCGGTCGAGGAGTGATTCTCTTCAGATTAAACAAGCTGATCCTGGCACAGGTGAACAGACGCTTTGCTGCAGGGCTTCTTTACTCGTACACAGGAGTACACAGAAAGCTGCACGCACATAGTTCTCCATCCAGAGTCATTGTTCATGTGTATAATGACTTTAACCCTGGCTGCAGGACACATTGTGTAGACATGTTACAGTAATATGCAGCACAAAAGCAGTGTTAAGTCGCTGGGGTATATTTGTATATTAAGATAAGATCATGTTCCATGAAGATATTTTGTACATTTCCTACCGTAAATATATCAAAACTTAATTTTTGATTAGTAATATGCATTGCTAAGAACTTCATTTGAACAACTTTAAAGATGATTTTTCTCAATATTTAGATTTTTTTGCACCCTCAGATTCCAGATTTTCAAATAGTTGTATCTCAGCCAAATATTGTCCTATCTTTCAGCTGATATATGCATCATATATATACATAAATCCGTTTCACTGTGACTTTAGTCTCTAATTGAAGTGTCACACTCTCTGTTGTCTGCTGCTTCAGAAGCTCTTAGAGCAGCTGCATTCAGAGCCGGATGTGTTCGGCGTGAAGAGTGAACTTCTGCATCATCTTCAGGGAGGAAGGACACTGGTGGAGTTCAGGTGTGTTCAGTCATGTGAGCGGCACAGAGGCCTGCAGGGAGAACCGTCCGCTTCCCATCGGTTTAAGCCAAGAATATTTAGATCACCTGTCAAAACAGAGCAAACAACAGCGATGTTTGGGCGCTTGTGATGCATAAACAGCACCTGCTGCGGGGACTTTCTAAAATCCTTAACATGACTTAATGTACCAAGATCAAAATCAGTATATACATACATTTGCAATCAAAATTATTCAACCCCCGAGAGACTGTGATACTTTACAAATGTAAGCTTTTCTGAAGATCCAGAGTTTTTAAAATCGCATCTATAACAGTTCAGTGGCATATTAAAAGTGACAACGTCAATATATAATGAGTTATTTTTGAGCTATAGGATTTCTTTGTAATGCAGCTGTCATAATTATTCAACCCCTCGTCAGTGCTGCTGTTTCTAAGTCACTTATTTGTATGGTAGGGTAAAAACAAACAAAAGAAGTCTTTGGAAACTCTTTAACAAGACCTAATTTGCTTGAGCTGTTACACATACTGTACATAAACATGGCCAAGTCAAAAGAGCTCTAGGGCCACAGAGAATAAATAGTTTTGTTCAATTAGACAGTAAATGCAAAAAAGCCACTCGCCCAGTTTCTCTTGCTCCAAATTAAAGGGCACAACATAATAAAACAATTTTAAAGATAATATCATCTGGCTTTTAGCAATGATTATTTATTATAATTATTTTATATGATTTATATTATTATTACACCCTTAATCCATTACACGAGCCAGTTTAGTTTAATAATAATTAAGCTTTTATTTTAATAATATGATATGCAATATAAATAAGTCTTAAGTCGCTGGGGTATATTTGTAGCAATAGCCAACAATACATTGTATGGGTCAAAATTATAGATTTTTCTTTTATGCCAAAAATCATTAGGATATTAAGTAAAGATCATGTTCCATGAAGATATTTTGTAAATTTCCTACCGTAAATATATCAAAACTTAATTTTTGATTAGTAATATGCATTGCTAAGAACTTCATTTGAACAACTTTAAAGATGATTTTCTCAATATTTAGATTTTTTTGCACCCTCAGATTCCAGATTTTCAAATAGTTGTATCTCAGCCAAATATTGTCCTATCCTAACAAACCATACATCAATGGAAGCTTATTTATTCTGCTCTCAGATGATGCATGAATCTCAATTTTAAAAATTTGACCCTTATGACTGGTTTTGTGCTCCAGGGTCATGTGTGTGTATATATATATATATATATATATATATATCAACTATATAAACTAACATCATAAGTTTCACTTGCACTGATATGGCAAGATGTTTTCGTTTAGTTGCCCTCTTTCATGGATAGATCGTTTAATCTTGCTGCATTGGGACTAGCATGCACTCAGATCTGTTTGTTTTGCCGCTGTGGGCTGCAGGTGTATGTTCAGGTGAACCGCGAGGCCGAGCGCGATGAGAGCGTACGTTCAGCCGCTGCAGAGTTCTTCAGACGTCTGGAGCAGAGTGAAGATCAGGCCCTGGCGCTCTGGAGACAGTTTCGTGAGATCACGGTGGACCAATATAAACGCATCTATCAGGTAAAATCAGTTCTTATTCATGAGGGATTTATGTGTTCATATCTGGGAGTGCCTGCACTCAAAACTAGAGCTGCGTTTGAGGAACTGCATGCAGTTTTGTTTTGCACGTTTTTAAAATCACATTTAGGATTTCTTATGCACACGTAAAAAGACCCACGCTCTCTGATTTCACATCAACATGAGCATTTGACTGGATATTTGATATTGAACGTATTGCATGTCGACTTGTCTTAAGTCTCTCTCAGATAATGCTGTAAACTGAGCAGGAAGCCCGGTCTAGTCATACGTTACTTTAATATTAAAGATTGAAATCAACGACAAACTCTTAAATCCAGTTTATTTTCATGTATAATATTCAACACTGTGTAAACGTATAAACTGAACTCCTTGAAAGAGTTAACAGAGGCTCTGAATGTGTCTGTCAAAATACTGAGCGTTACTCACGATAAAAGAAAAAGACATGTGACCCAGAAACACATTGCTAATGATGCAATTATATTTCTAATGTAATTATGTTTAAACTCTCTGCCGTAAAAGCCTGTTATTATGACGGCGGTATGTGAACATACAGAGTCTTAAAAAGTCTTAATTCACCCTTTCTCAAAGTAAGCCTTAAAAAGAGTCTTAAATTGACTGCATTAAATGTTGCATGCATTGCAAAAATGAGTATCTTCCTCAGATACCATTTTTGCCATATTGGAAAACAAGACAAAAATACTGTGTTCTTGGTATGATCCACGGAATCTATCAAGACCAGTCTCATGACAATAGACAAAAATCTTCAAAAGCTATTAGCATTTTTTGAAATTTCATTATAATTTTTGAGTACTGTCAGGCCATGGTCCCGAAGACACGTACCGAGTTTCGTAATGGTACGCCAACGCGTAAATATAGCAATTTTTTAAATAAAATAAAATACAGCATTTTACGGCAAAATTCAAAATGGCCGACATGGGAAAATTGGGTATCATTCGACTCAGTATGTTGCTCCGAATCTAAATTGACTTGTGATTTTTGGCCAAAGCATTCAAAAGCATTTTTCATATCTCCTAACCACTAGGTGGCGCTGCAGCATGTAGCCTCAGGGCATGGTTATCATAACACACACCAAGTTTGGTCTGAATACGGCAAAGCCTCATGTCTGATTTGGCAAGCTTGTCGTCGGAATTCGTTTGCGTGGATGAACCGTCTAAGACAAGTTCTAAAAAGTATGTTTTTTTGAACTATTAAAAATTGTGAAAAATCTTGACCTGTAGAATTTAAAGTTTGGAGTCTGTTTGACTCGGCATGTGCCAAGGAATCAGAGGAAAAAATAATTTTCCTTCTAGACCTCACGAACCGTTATAAGTTATTAGCATAAACACGAGTGAAAATTTGGACAAGTGGTGGCGCTAGAGAGTTTGAGTTAGAGACTCCAAACTTGCTGTGGTTAATGTTGAGACTGTCCTCTATCAATGTGCCAAATTTCACAACTTTCCCGCAAGCGGTTCTATGGGCTGCCATAAACTCAAGAGCAGGAGGAGGAAGAATGATAAGAAAACCTTCGGCGCTTGGCTCCTAAAAAACCAATAGTCTAGTTTTTTGTGGGCGGAGTCTATCTAGTGGCAGAAAATGACAGTTTTAAGTAGCAGTCTATGGAAGCTATGGAATAAAAGAATAAAAAAGGTAATTTTGAGTTTATATTTCAAAATTCAGACTTTTTTTCTCGCAATTCCGTGATTATACCTCACAATTCTGGGGAAAAAAGAAAAAAAAAATCAACTCGTCATTCTCTTTTTCTTTTTTCTCCCCTCGGCTCAGAATCATGAGTTTATATCCCACACTTCTGGCTTTTTCCCCCTCAGAATGGACAAACTCGAAATTGAGTAAAATCGAGTTACAAATCCGAACTAGGACATATAAACTCGAATTTGCGTGAAAAAAGTCAGAATTGTGAGATAAAATAGGTCAATGTTATGTAAAACATTATAGGTTTAAATAGTAGGCTATTTCTTGCTGTAACTGTAGGGCTAATACAATATGTCCCTTATGAACTGCATATGTGAATATTGTTTAAATCAAATGTATGCTTTAAAAGTAGGGTAATCATAGCAGGTTTCATCCATAGTCTGTCCGTTTAAACGTCTGCGTTTAGCTTCAAATGGTGTCTTTGATGACCGTATTCTATAAAAATGATTTGCATTCTGATTCTGGCATCCAAAAGCTCAACAATACATTTTTTTGTCTTATTCCATGGATTTTACCCGTTTCCGTCCACTTGTTCCCAGTGTTGTTCTGCCACCACAATAGATGCAGCTGCAAGTGACGTAACTGTGATGTCTACTCCAAATTGATCTATAGTCCAGCCCTAGTGTTACTGTACCTTTGAGACTTCAGTGTATGCTGTGATTGTGAGTGACGGAGGTTCATGCAGAGAGGCTCACAGCGTCTGACGGTGTCTGTGCTCTCTCAGCGTTTAGGAATTCACTTTGACCATTACTCTGGAGAGGCGTTTCATCACCATCAAACCCAGAGTGTGCTGGACGAGCTGATGAGCCAAGGACTCTTAAAGACCACCGAGTACGACACCACCTCTCATTCTGACAGTAATAAAACCTGGAGACATCTGAATAGCAGAAAGCCTTTCCTGCACACCAAAAACACACAGGCCTAAATTTGAGATTTCTGTATTTGAATTGCATATAAAATTTCCATTCATTTGGGTTACACAGTTTTAACATAAACAGTCTAGTAAACCTGAAGGAATAGTTCACCCAAAAATGAAAACGTATTCACCCTCAGTCCATCTGAGATCAGGATGAGTTTGTTTCTTCATCAGATTTGTAGAAATGTAGCATTGCATCAGTGTCTCAGCAGTGGATGCTCTGCAGTGAATGGGTGCCGTCAGAATGAGAGTCCAAACACTGATAAAAACATCACAATAATCCACAAGTAATCCACAGCACTCCAGTCCATCAGTTAACATCTGGAGAAGACAAAAGCTGAAACAAATCCAGCATTAAGACGCTTTTAACTAAAATACATTGAGTCTATAATCCATAATAACTCTTCCTCCAGTGAAAAAGTGTTCTGGTGTGAATCAGGAGAGAAATCTGCACAGATCAAGCAGCGTTTAAACAGCTCTAAACACATATGCGGCTGGATTTTGATGCGAGAGACAACAGCAGATGCACTTTTCCACTGGATTGATTATAGACTCAAACATGCAGCTTGTCACTTCAAATTGTAATTTTTGTGTGAGCTATTCCTTCAAAGGGCATATTTGTCAGTCAGACATCATGAAATGAGATTTCTGCAGTCTAAAGATCATGGCATAGTTTGCTTGTGGTAACTGACGGTGATTGGTTGTTGCGCAGGAAGGGCACGGCTGTGGTGGATCTGTCTGGAGCGGGCGATATGTCGTCTTACGCCACACTGGTGCGCAGTGATGGGACGTCTCTGTACATCACCAGGTGTGTCTCGCACCTCTCTGAGCCGCACATGCGCACCGAGTTCACAGAGTCGTGACACAAGTCATTTCTGTTTGCTTTCAGAGACGTCGCAGCAGCACTGGACAGGAAGCAGAGGTTCGGGTTTGATGAGATGATCTATGTGGTAAGAATCAGGGATGCCACAATATTCAATATAATATTGAACCTTTCGGTACGACATCCGCGGTTCAATACACACTTGTGAATTTCTGTGCATTTGTTTTTTCTCTCTGAATTGGCTCTGTCTGTGTGTGCCTGTGAGTCCCCGCTTATACGCCGGCCGAACATCTTCCCTTGTAATGACTTTAATGAGAAGCGTTTCTAAACCTGTTGATCAACAAAACGCAACATCAGTCGAGTGTTTGAAGTATCATGAAATGAGATTTCTGCAGTCTAAAGATCATGGCATAGTTTGCTTGTGGTAACTGACGGTGATTGGTTGTTGCGCAGGAAGGGCACGGCTGTGGTGGATCTGTCTGGAGCGGGCGATATGTCGTCTTACGCCACACTGGTGCGCAGTGATGGGACGTCTCTGTACATCACCAGGTGTGTCTCGCACCTCTCTGAGCCGCACATGCGCACCGAGTTCACAGAGTCGTGACACAAGTCATTTCTGTTTGCTTTCAGAGACGTCGCAGCAGCACTGGACAGGAAGCAGAGGTTCGGGTTTGATGAGATGATCTATGTGGTAAGAATCAGGGATGCCACAATATTCAATATAATATTGAACCTTTCGGTACGACATCCGCGGTTCAATACACACTTGTGAATTTCTGTGCATTTGTTTTTTCTCTCTGAATTGGCTCTGTGTGTGCCTGTGAGTCCCCGCTTATACGCCGGCCGAACATCTTCCCTTGTAATGACTTTAATGAGAAGTTTCTAAACCTGTTGATCAACAAAACGCAACATCAGTCGAGTGTTTGAAGTAACTCCCTTTTGTGATCTGATGTGGCACAGAATGAGGCAGAAAATATATTCTATACTGTAATGAAGTGACATTAGTGATTTCCTGGAGCGTCATCAGTTCTGTTACTTCTGTGATGCATATGTGGAGTTTCTGCGCGAGGGCACCCTCCAGCTTCCAGTATGAATGAAACAGACATTACATGTGTTTATTACACTCAATAATGGCCAATCCATCCTATTTTGGGTAAAAATAGGAAAAATAATACTTCTCTCAAAAGAAATTTGAAGTAGACATTTTTTTGGTAATTGTTTTAAAAATTGCATTTTAAATCTAAAAAAAAACAAACACTGATGTGCCAAGCCATCAGAACTGAACCGAAAACCGTGGTTAAAAACCAAGGTATGTATTGAACCGTGGGCTAACTGTATTGTTGCATCCCTAGTAAGAATCGTCTGAAATCACTGCTAAACCACACGACTCTTTGACCTTCTGCATCAGCTCTGTCCTCCTTCCCTCTTTAAGACAGATAAGAGTCAGACCGTCCACTTCCAGCAGCTCTTTCACATCCTGCAAACCATGGGACACCAGTGGGCAGAGAGGTACACACACACACTCACACACACACATGACATGCGCACACACACACACACACACACACTCACAGACACACATGACATGCGCACACACGCACACACACATGACACTCACATACACACACACTCTCACACTCTCACACACACTACACACACACACACACACACATATACATATATATATACATATACACCCCCAAGCGCCCTGCATACAGACGTTGCTGTAAAGTCAACATGAAATCGAAATGGACTCTTAATTACATGACTTAAACTTACATTTCTGGTCATTGCAATGATTTTGGAAGTAACTGTGTTTAAAAACGCGTAAAAATAACATGTTAAAACAATTAGTGAATTTAACGCAGCACCCCGTCCAGACCTGTCAGTCATCTTACACTGATGCAGCGCCTGATGAACATGATGCAGGACAACTGACTGTGTGATGAAGTCTTTTGGAATGCAGTTTATATGAGCCTACAATTCAAGATATGAGGACAAAAATGACCCTCTTATATTTATATCATATGATATAGTTTAGCAATATCACACCTGCAAGAGTGCTGCTTTTCACCAAGATCTGCACGACTGTAAATCTGATACTGATTTAATACAACAGTTCAATAAAGGAGTTAATATTGTGTACATTTAAGTCACAATATTGTCTGTTTTTCGCAGCGGTGATTCACAGTTTTGATGAATCCACAGGTTTGAATGAATCAAGTGATTCAGTGACTCATTCATAATGAGTCACTTGCTTCGTTTCTGAATGAATCAGCTGTTTGAATGATTATTGAAGCTTTAAGCTCTCACTGCAGTTTTTATCCAAAATAAAAGCTTGATGGTTTAACCCAGACACTTATTGTTTTTATTAATATTTTGAATCAGTTTTTAGTTTTATATTTTCCATTTTTATGTCAATTTTATTTGAAGTTTTAGTCATTTTGTTGTGTGTTATAGTAAATTTCATGTCTACATATGGGTTATTAACTTTTATTTTTCAACTTAATTTTTATTCTTCTCTTTTTAGGAACAAACTTTTGTTGCAGGTCAACATAGTTCACAAAATATGAACAATAAACAAATGTATTTAACAAACCATATACAAAAGGCATCGACTTAGGGGGAAAAAAATAAGAAAAAAATACATTAATGTCACCATATTAAAAACAATTGACAAAAGTATATTAATAAATTGATACTTGAATCCACTGAAGGGGAGTTTATTAACTTTTAAAAGATCAAATGATTCATCCAAAGTTTTGGTCAGCCGAACCTCTTAGATGTAAAATATTTTCTTGAGGTTCCCCTGAGATAGTAATTTAATATTTCAACACATTCACATGATCACATTTCTCTAAGTCATGTTTATGGTTCTTCATAATGTTTAATGGCTACATGCGTGTAAAAAGATAAGATATTGCATCTTTTTTAGTAAGCGTTTCATTTGTAGTTAAGTAGTAGTGTAATTTTTATATTTGTTTTTGTCGTAAACTTATATGTAGGGCTGCACAATTTGGCCAAAAGATTATACTGTATATTATTTGTTCACATATTGTGATTGCACTTTGAACTGCGATATGATGTTTAATTTCATATGAAAATGTCTCTCGTTGCTGCTGCTGAGACTCAAAGACTGTTCTGCTAATGGAAATTAGCCTCTTTACAAGAACCAACACTGCAATTACAATACAAATATTGATGTTTTAAATGATTCACTATCAAACGCTTTTATTCTGGCAGATTGTGCTGCAAACTTCTGCACACAAAAATGTTGTGAATGATGCAAATGTGAATGTAAATGAAGTGACCCTTGTGTTCCCGAATGCACCTTAAACTCACAGCGCCGGCAGAAATGCAATCTCCTAAAATAATCTCTTCTCTGTTATCTTGACCTGCCTACGGCTAACGGACGTTGAGTGTTATTGGAAAGTAGGTCTTTTTGCCACAACCTCCGCATTATCAAAACACTGATCAATACAGATGTTTGATGTGTGAAATGAAGTACTTCTCTTGCTAGGTTAATTTGATGATATTGTTGGAAACTCTTGGGTATCTTCAGCAGGACACTTTATTGAGAACTTGCTGTGTGGCACTGCAGTCATCAAATGTCTGATTAAGGCAGGCATACATTGTATTTTATAGGCATTCATAGAAGGGTCTTAGAGATGTTGACACAGTACAAGAACACGAGAACAAAAGACATGTAAACATTCACATGTAGTTAACGCTTAGTAGGAAGATCAGAGACTGGCAGAACCCCTTCCCTGGAAACTGTATTGAACCTACTCCGTAAATAGATGCCATCATGTTCACATTAAATGCCCAATACAAAGTAGATCACCTTAGTTTTTCATATCATGTTACGTCAGGGTGTAGGATCAGCAGATCTTAAACGGATGCTTAAATTTGTAATCCCACAATATTTAATAGTTTATTGTGATATCAAATGCCATGGGATGTGTACCTTAATCAGGGCTCGACACTAAGGATGGCCCGGGGCCAGCGTAAAACACTCGGGACAGTAGATGGTTTTGCCACTGCTGTGTCCTCACGAAAGTTTATCATTTGCACGTGTTTTTAAAGCTTTGCCAATTTAAACATTCAGTCGATTTAAAAGCATTAGAAGTGAAAAGCACACAAAGTGCAAGACGATGCAAAGACAACTCCACTCAGCACTCGTGTTCTTGCACGTGTTTTTAAAGCTTTGCCAATTTAAACATTCAGTCGATTTAAAAGCATTTAGAAGAAGTGAAAAGCACACAAAGTGCAAGACGATGCAAAGACAACTCCACTCAGCACTCGTGTTCAGTTTCTCTTTCGCGTCTTCTTGCGCTTGAACGGACAAATACATACATATTAGACCCATAAATTGTGCTTAAAGTGACCGTGCCTAATTTACCAACTGCTGTCGGTGTCCTTAATGTTAATTAAGCTTAACAATGATTAATCTATATATTTAATATATACAGTGAAGAATATGTTCATTAGTTTTTTTTTAATCTAATGAAAATGAATAAATGATTGTAAACAAAGTAAACAAGAAAATAAATCGCAACACAGATGTACGGTTGCTCTCGTGAAGCTACACACAGACTGTCACTGAAACATCCTCAGGTCCTTCAATACATTCTCTTCTAGTTCACTTCACTAAAAACCATTTTGCAATGCATGCTGTCAATCGAATATAAAAAACGTAATTGCACATTTTTCTGTAATTAATCATGATTCATCGCATATTAACATATATTTATATTGCCATCATTTCACATTGAATCCCCAAATTAGTGTAGAAACAACATAAAGATGGTATATTTTAAATAAGTTTAATGGCACCTTTACTAAACCTGTTATTAATGAAGGCCAGTATCGTTGATACCAGTAATGCTACAGATGTCTCTAATAAATGCATTTCCCCCTCAATTTTATCCATTAATTATAGCCATTCAACATTACAGTATAATTTAAAACTATTATTTTTAACAATTAATAGGTATTGAAAAACATAAGTTTTAATTTAAGTGAACTTAAAACAGTCTTCAGATAAACTATAAACTGTATGTAGATGAATCTTTATTCAAGCTGCAGAAGTGAATCAGTGAGCAGAGCAGTGAGTGATTTCCATCAGTGACAGACTGCACTATGTTTGACTTTAAAAGCAGCGCTGTCTCTTTAAAACCTGACACAGATGATGCGGATCTGACCCACATCCGGTTTTCTCCCAACTCTTTACGCTTATTTAGGACTTAATAACTCATTTAAGACCGCGCTCCTATAAGACGAGATCACTCGCCTAAAATGGGCGTTTGAATTGTGTGTTTTTGTCCGTTGTCTGAAGTGGCTTTCTGTGCGTGTGCACGTGTCAGACGCCTGTGTTCACAGAGAGCTGCTTCACAGTGTGCGCGCCGGTACCGAATTAACTTCTCTTTTGCGTCTTATCATGCTTGATAGCATGTTCATATAGTCTACTATAACACTAGACAAAGGATACCAGGAAAAAATGGTTGCTGCATTAAATGTGTTAATATTAATCACACAATTAACAAGTTCATTATGACAGCCCTAGTAATTACATAATGTGTGTGTGTGTGTGTCAGGTGTGTTCATGTGGCGTTCGGGCTGGTGCAGGGCATGAGCACACGCCGCGGGGAGGTGGTGTTCCTGGAGGACGTGCTGGAGGAGGCTCGCAGCAGGATGCTCAACAACATGAGGCAGTCCAGCAGTGAGAGAAAATACTTTCTGATTACCCTAACCATAACTGATCATCCCTAACCAGAGTATGTGAGCGGAGCGGTGTGATTTTGACTGGAGCGAGGAGCGGATTTTTTAAAAGTCGGAGCGTCGTGGTTTTCACTCGCTCCAAGAGTGCTCCACCACCGCTCCATCACGAGTACAATTCATGCAAACAGCCCATAATATAACTGCATATTTAGCAGGAATTCACAGGTTAAACTATGACAGCCCTAGTAATTACATAATGTGTGTGTGTGTGTGTCAGGTGTGTTCATGTGGCGTTCGGGCTGGTGCAGGGCATGAGCACACGCCGCGGGGAGGTGGTGTTCCTGGAGGACGTGCTGGAGGAGGCTCGCAGCAGGATGCTCAACAACATGAGGCAGTCCAGCAGTGAGAGAAAATACTTTCTGATTACCCTAACCATAACTGATCATCCCTAACCAGAGTATGTGAGCGGAGCGGAGTGGGAGCGGTGTGATTTTGACTGGAGCGAGGAGCGGATTTTTTAAAAGTCGGAGCGTCGTGGTTTTCACTCGCTCCAAGAG